TGAGTGAATTTCACTTCTCTAGCCAAAAGATTGTATTTTTAAACAATCTTTATTTGGGATCAAGCTGTGGATTTGCTTCAACTGCAATTATTTAATCTGCCACTATTGTGTATGTTCATGCCAGAAGAGCATCTTGGCTTTTCTCAAACTGGGATTTTTATTTTCCTTGCTGTTTGCAGAAGGTCTGCTATGATACGTAGTTATTTGTAGCCCCTGCCAGAGTAGGGTGGGTAGTTCTGTGCTCTGATTTATCCTCTGGTTAACAGATAACGAAGCAGTTGCAGCCATCTGCACAGATGGGAATGGACTGCTCCTCTCCCAATTTAGCATTATTCAGGAGAACTGAGCCTGTAGGGCTGGAAGTTTCCCTCAGGGCCCTGCACAGGGAGGGGAGGCAGCAGTGCTGATCTGCAGGGTGGGGACTCTCAGAAGATAATCCACTCAGCCTATAAAGAACCTTCATAGAGCTGTGCTCTGTCTAGAGGTTTCACAAATGCTTCATAGAGCTGTGCTCTGTCTAGAGGTTTCACAAATGCTTCATAGAGCTGTGCTCTGTCTAGAGGTTTCACAAATGCTTCATAGAGCTGTGCTCTGTCTAGAGGTTTCACAAATGCTCTGTGAAAGGCCCCAGACATGGTGCTGGGCTGCTAGAATTACTACATTCTGATTATCCAGCATCTAGTTCCTGTGTGGCTCTGTTACACTGGTGCTTACTGCCATCACTTTGACATCTAATTGTCTTGATTATTTATATTGTCACTGTTCCATATAGGGTGAAAGAATAGTTTAAATGAAGGTGTCTGTCTGCAGTCCTGTCTCCCAGATCAGTAACACTCCTTGTCTATTATCACAGCTGAGGAAAGCAAGATTTCAGATTGTCAGTTCTTTAAAATCTTAATTATCTTTTCTGTGTCCATATATTGTCAGGAACTCCATCTTACACAGTTTCAGAAGTTATCTTCACTAAGAGTGATTTTGTATTTATGAAAAACAGTTTCTTTCATCACAAAAAAAAGCAAAATATAACAGAACTGTTGTCATTTCTCCAGGTGCCAAGAACCTCTTTGTGTCTCTCACTTAGATCTGCTAAAACATTTTGGAATATGATTAATACCCAATTTCTAGGAATCCTGTACCATCAGGTTTGCTCACTACACAACTTCCATGACTGACACATACACACAGTGTGAATAACAGGTCCATGGCCTTGTTTTTACCTTCTGGACAGAGCCCTGAACCTCAATAATACAAGATTTGGATTTACTCTTTTTGTCTTTGGATCCCTAAAGCCTCCTGAATAAGGCAGCAAATGTCTGAATTCTAGACCAATGATTTCTTGGGAATATTTGTGTTTTCTCCTGCACAACCCCCTGCAGGAGTGGGCTGTTTATCATTCCTGTGCTGGCTGATGAAAGTAGGTGCCAGCTCTCAGTAAGCTGGCAATTCAGGAGCTGTGTGTAACCATATTTTGTATCGTTCTTTTAGCCTTGAAAGAGGTTGTTCCCACCAACAATTACACCCATTCTTCCAGTTTCACACTGACCATGTTAGTGCCAAATAATCCAGCTGGGTACAGCCCTGTGTGCCAGGTTTAGTTCCAGTTCATGCAGTGACTCCTCTGCCTTTTCTGTAAGATATCAGGAATTTTCATGACGAAGAGATGTCATTCAAGTGACTCATCAGTGAAACTGGTGCAGATTTCCTCAGCTCCCTACCTAGAAAGCCCTTGCAAACTCCGTGGAAACAAACTCAAGACACCAAACAGCAGGCAGGGTGGTTTGGGGCACTTTTCCCTGATAATGCAGGGTAGTTCTGCAGTTTGTTTCCTCCTGTTTAGTGGTGTATAAAACTTTTAGCTCAATTTCCAGCCACGTCGTTGGACATAGTTCTGCAGTTAATAGTTCATTGGGGTTTTTTGAATTCCTTGTGTATGTACAAAGTGACAATTGTATGTATATAGACAATCCTGTTATTGTTTGAATAGGCTCTTATCAATAATTTTAGCATTAGATAGTATATGGATTTATTTCTGGGCTACAAATGTCCTGAGTCAGTACCTGTTAGGAGTAAATAAACAGGATTGTTGGACTTTCCTGCTTGCTTTCTATAGAGCAGTGCAATTTCTTTTTTCCTCTTCAGTTAACTTGTTAAAAAAAAACAGTAAACAAACCTTGCTTTGAAGTAACCTGAAACACATATATTTTTATTTCTTTTTCCTGAAATTACTTTGGGTAGAATGTGATTATTTTGTTTGCTGTAGCTTAAGGATACTGTGCTCAGGATTTGGGTTGTTTTCCTTTTAAATTTACTGTCCATCTTTAAGTGGTGTTTGAAAGGAAACCAAAAGATTGAAATGGGATTTTAGATGGAAGGAAGGGGAGAGCTGATGTTATGATATTAAAATTAGTCTGTAAATTCAATAAAAATTAACTTTCTGTACCCCAAATCCAGACCCTTCAGACGTTTCTCCTCTCTCTATTGCCATTCTTCTTGGCCACTAAAATTTGTCTTCCATGCTGTCACTCTACTGTTGAGATTTTCCACCCCAGCAAGTTGTATCTGTGGGTGGTGCCCAGGTTCAAAGGCTGGGAAATTGCTTCTTCAGGGCTCATGAACCTTCTTGGTGTGTGTCTTGGTCCCTTGCTTCTCAGCACTGACCTGGCGTGGCTGTCAGCCAGGGAGGTGTCTTCCCTTGCACCTCATGTAGCTTTTCCTATGTTTGGCACTTTTCATATCTGAAAATATGAAGGAATTATAAGGAATTATAATTACAAGGAATAAGCTTTTCTCCATAGGCCTGGTTTGATTCTGTGTTTTAAGAGGTGATTTGTTTCTGGCCCTGACTCCCCAGTGCCAAAGCCACCGCGGCGCGTCCTGGTGCCCCAGGCTGCCCAGCAGGGACACAGCCCCATGGCAGCAGTGGCACTTTGGAAGCCCTGCCAGCCCCACGGGGGCTGTGGGGCTCACTGGGCAGCTGGTGCAGCTCTGTGCTGCCAGCTACCACGGTGCTGAGCTCGGTGGCTTTTTGTCTTTAGGGTTTTTAACCACAGTTGCCAAGTACACCAACAGTTCCTAATGGGACGTTGAGCTGCTGGAAATTTCTAGAAGACCATCTCAGTAAAACCAGAACCTTTCAGCCCAGATGGGTATATTTGCAGTAGGAGCTGTGCTTTTTCTGAGGTGTTTAAAAGTACACCCATCTCCTGAGAGCAGCTTTTGATTGTGGGGAGCCCACCTTAGATGTCTGTCTTCAGAAAGAGAAACGAGGTGGTTTTAATGAAGCTGCAATCCTGCTGCTTGTGATTGTCTGAGCAGTCCCTGAGGTCACAACGTGCTCAATGTCACTTGGTGGCACAATCAAGGTTGTGCTGGGTGGAGGCTAATCAGTGCTGCCTTGTGTCTCATTTCCATCTCCTCTTTATGCACGACATCTTGCCACTGCACAAAGATGGAGGCTGTTAAATAGTTATTTATAGTAAGAAGGGTAAAACTGTTAAGAGAAGTTGTGGGGTGGTTTTTTTTTCAATCTGAGTTAAAAGCAAGGCAAAAAGTCACGCTCAGCCAGCAGGTTGGCATTGCCACAGCACACTGTGTTAAGCAGTAAACTTAATTATAAGTAAATTACATTCACCCTTTACAATTGTTAAACAAACAAGGAGCCACAAAGCCAACACATGTAAGCCACCCCCCTTGAAATTCATCACTATTGACAAATCCTGAACTCTGGAAGCAAACAAATTAGAAGGTGGAACAAGCTTCTAAAAGCTGTTTGAAAGCTTTAGCACTTTAGTGGAAAGCTATTTGGACGATGTGGTTTGTTTCCATTCTAGTACAGCTAGTTTTTGCACATGCAGTGTTTACAGCTCCTCCCTTCACACAGCCCTGTTCATTTTGGTAAACATACTAGTAATCTTGGAATTCAAAGTGAAGTTTTCACATTGATTTACAAATACCTCCTGTAAATAAAATTCATGCAATTCTAATGCTAATGGAATGTCCCTCTGTAGACCATACACATTTATGTCTATATGAGCAAAGGTTGATCTGTGCCAGTTTGTGTAAGAGATATAAATGGAAAAGTGCAAATAACTGTTTAAAAAAAATATCCCTAACATGATGATGGAGTGCTCATTAGGAAGCTTTGGCTAATGTTTTATTACAGCCTGTGGAAAAACTGTTTTCACTCCAGAACTTTAACTGTATCTATGTTTATTTTACAATAAACCTAAGTCGTGCTCACTGAGAGCAAGTCTAATCAGTAAAATCCACACTGCATGTTCAAATATTGCTGCTTAAACATAAGTGTAGTTATAATTTGGTACTTATAGCATCTCAGCTAAACTGCCTGCTGTAATAGTTCTTCAGGATGACTCTGTAGTTTCTTTTTTGGGCATGATTTGCTTCATGTACACCACTCGGGTGCTGCTCTTTGCCAGGGAGCCTCCTGGTGAGGACACTTTGCATCCTGAAATGACAGACACACCTGAATTAAGCATCAGCTTTCCCTTCACAATTTGCTGAAAGGTGGTTGATGCCTGGGGACAAATTGCAGCAGCCATGATCAGAGAGAAATGCAGATGCGTGTGCTGAGGAGCAGGCAGCACCTCCAGGAGGGCTGTTTGCACTGCCTGAGGTTTTCAAGCATCCACAGTGTAAAAGGTTTCTGACTCTGCCCAAGGCAGGCTGTGGCACTTGCATGTGCTGGTGAACTCCAAGGTCCTCACTGCTACAGGTGAACTGAGCTCAGGTTTCAATGACCACATTTTTACTAGTTCAGAAAAATGTTTCTCTAATTCCCCTTTCTCTAGTGTCTTGGAAGTGCCTGTTGGGGTTTTTGTTTGGGGTTGTTGGGTTTTTTCCATCTGTGTTTAATGGCATGCTAAGTATTATGCCAGTAAAAAAGAAGAAAATGTAAAGTCATTAAGCATTTGACATTTAAGGACATAGTATTCTTAATAGTTTTAATACTTTATAATTTTATTCTTTTGCTATTATCTCAGGACCTCATTGGAAACAGGAAGCAGCATCTCAACTGATCCACTCAGGTACTGTAGTAATACAGATGTTAATTTTAAGTATTAAGTAATAGAAATTACCTCCATGCTGTGTCAGCTGAACATCACATAACTGTATCTTACAATGCATGGCCAGGAAAGGCCTTGACCAAATAGCTGGATCTTTGTCTTTGGGAGGGGTTGGTTCACTCAGTACCAGGATTTCAGTTCTAGCTTCAAACAGTGTGTTCATTCTCAGAGAAATGTGATGGGGAGAGAGGGGAGGTGAAGTCATGCACACACATGGGCAAACCATCCCTCTCTCTAGAACCTGGATTGGGCTGAAAACATGTGACTGTTCCTGGCAGTTTTATGCTGCTCTAAGTGAACAATACTGACTGTGTCAAAGTCATTCATGTTTCCTGTTGCTCAGCATTTTGATAAAAGCACATGTACCAACTTCAGAGAGTGCTGTCAGATGAGTCAGGGCAGTAATTGAGATTTTACTTTGATCACACAATTTAGGGAAAAAATGCTTAGCACTGTTAACACTGCATATCAAATGGGCACCTTGCATCTCTTATTCTCACAGTTGCACATTAAAGAGTGCATCAAAGCACAGACTTCCTTTGATTAGGTGGGGGCAGAGTCCCTTCCCATCAAACTGACAGTTGTTTTGGTAAAAGGTTTCCTTTGGAGATGTTGTGGATTGAGAGTGTGACTTTTCCCCACCTTGTGTAGCTTTAACCTTGCTTGAACAAAACATTAGTGGGAACTGTTCTGTTTAACCTTATGCAAATCAAGGGCCATCTTCATTATTAATCTTCCATTATTTTCTAGTGTATGGTCTTCTGAAAGTAAAGCCTTATTATTATTTCCTAAAAACACTTCCCCCCCACCCCTCCCTGTGCTGTAATATTATCTTTGTTTTCAGCTCAGCAACACTGGACACTGTTCAGTCATGACTGTAGTTTTGTTCCCATCTCCCAGTTTGCCTGGAACACTGTTTCTTTGTATGGTAGGACAATGCAGGAAACTTCCCCACCCTCCTTTTCTGCAAACTTATTTTAGCAAAAGCTTTACCATGTAGCTAGTTTATGATTTGCCATTCTTGGGATAAGGTTCCCAGAACCAGGTATTGCTGCCATCTTTATTCCAGGCTAGATAATCTTTGTTAAAATAGAAGATTTTAGTACAGTGCTTTTCTGGTGGGATTTTTTCCTAGGGAGAATGTCAGTGAGAAAGATGGGGAAGAATAAGCTAGATAAAAGGAGTGGTGAAATCTTAACATTTGGTGGGAAAAGGAGTAGGAAATATTCTTTGAATAGGTTGAGTTGCACTGAATAGACATGTTTTCTAGAAGCTGCAGCAATTGGACCATTTTAAATTCCTTGCTTAAAACTATTCTCAATAAAATGAGACCATCTGATTTAACATCCCAGTGTGGCCACTGCCCCTGCTGCCTGGGCACACCCAGGATGTGTGAAGTTCAGTGGCACGGGCTCTCATTAGTATGCACTCAGAGGGGAGCCCTTTCTTAAGCCTCCAACAGAGAGATGCAGACTGGCATGGAATCCCTGATTGCACTTCTTTATATTTCAAACAATAGGTTTATAAGAGCTTATATTCTACCTTCTTTTAAGGGGGGAAGCTGTAAGCTATCAGAGATTTTGAGACTTCCCTCTTCATCCCATTCACTTTTATAAAACCTTTCTGCTCAGGCATTTCCTAAAATGATTCAAACAGCTAATCCTGGGAATAGTTGTAAATTATTTTTTTCCAGAACTGTCTTTATAAAAAGTTATTTGGAAATAAATGCACTTGCAATGCAACAGGTGCTTTTGAAATTTGAAAATTGGGGTGAAACTAGATATGGGAATTACCAGATAAGGATGCAAAAATGCTACTCTTGAACTACAAACAAAATAGTTTTATGATGCTTTAAAACTCTAGATTAAAACAATCACAGAGGAGACATTAAATAAATATCCAGATTATAATGGCTAAACTAGTGATTTTTTCCTAGGGTTAAATAATTACTTAAGAAAGTACAATGAAAGATAGAAGATTTATTGTTACTGAATGTGATCTTATGAACCTGTTGAGCAAATTTGCCTTTGAAAGACCCATAAAAATGAATGTACCTATTAATATGAACCCATCAAGTGTCTTGTCAAGCAATTAGTATTTTCTAGTCAGGCTACTTTTCATAGAATCATAGAATCACAGGATGGTTTGGTGTTGGAAGGGACCTTAAAGATCATCTAGATCCAACCCCCCTGCATGGGCAGGGACACCTCCCACCAGCCCAGGCTGCTCCAAGCCCCATCCAACCTGCCCTTCAACACTGCCAGGGATGGGGCAGCCACAGCTTCCCTGGGCAACCTGGGCCAGGCTCTCACCAGCCTCACACTAAAGAATTTCTTCCTAGTATCTAACCTAAATCTCCCCTTTTTCAGTTTAAAACCATTACCCCTTGTCACTACACAACCTGATGAAAAGCCCCTCCCCAGCTTTCCTGGGGCCCCTTCAGGCACTGGAAGGTGCTCTAAGGTCTCCCTGGAGCCTTCTCTTCTCCAGGCTGAACACCCCAACTCTCCCAGCCTGGCTCCAGAGCAGAGCTGCTCCAGTCCTTGGATCGTCTTTGTGGCCCTTCTCTGCACTTGCTCCAATAGCTCCATGTCCTTCCTGTGCTAAGGGCTCCAGAACTCACAGTTCTCCAGGTGGGGGCTCATGAGTGCAGAGCAGAGGGGCAGAATCACCTCCCTCAACCTGCTGGCCCTGCTGCTTTTGATGCAGCCCCAGACCCTTGGCCTTCTGGGCTGCAAGTGCACATTGCCAGCTCCTGTTGAGCTTTTCCAAGTTCCTGTCTACATCAACAAGGTAAGCTTGCCCTGAATCACCACTCTTCTAGTTCTCACCTGCTCTGGAACGTTGTCCTCCATGCTTCTGATTTTGTTAAATTTCAGTTGTATGTAGATTGCCCACCAGACAGATCCATTTGTTTCCCTTGGATTTATTTACACAGCACTTGGAGTCTGTGCAATTAGAGAATAAGGGCTAATGTGAAAATTGCCCGTGCCCATTATAAAGAGAAAAATATGTACAAACTGGCATCCTATATGTGTGTATGTGTGTACATTTTGTTTTGCACAATTTATTTCACAGTCTCTGCACAGTATTTGTTTTGGATACCTTGAGCTGGACTTTCAGCTGATACCTGAAAATATGTAGTTTCTTAATGTCTAAATCCTAATGTGAGCCTCCTGGAGTGTTGTATTACCAGATCTGTTTCAAATGATCCAGCAATTTAAATGTTTAAGCTTTGCAGTTATTTGTGGCATATTTGTCATCTTCTGTAACTAATTGATCAACTAGTGTTTAGAGTTGAGAGAACAGACATGCAGAAAATATATTTAGCATTAAGAGAACATCAAATTTCTTATTATTCTACTTCATAAAATCTTGGCTTGGAGGCTTAATAACCAGAAATGAAGGATAGTATCAAATGATGATTAATATTCATCTGTGGGGGAGTGCATAAATCTGAGAGCTGTTTGAAGCAAAATAACTTTGTTTTGAGTTACTGGAGAATTTCTTGGCAGCAGAGCTTCCCTTCAAGTAAAGAACAGGAGGAAAGGGCTTAATTTTATGTCCCTGATTCTCTAGGCACCTCTGTAGAGCTTGTCACCAGCATGCCTGGATGTCACAGTGGTGCAGCAGAGCCCGAGAGCTCTGTATGATCACAGCTCTTCCATTCTCCCTGACTGGGAAGGGATGGTTTCTGAAGTGGTACCCAGAAATGCCTAAGAGGGCCAGGAAGAGGGATCTGGTTTGCCAGAGCCCTGACTATGAAAGTATTTCTTATTCTTTGTAGGAGCAGCCCAGGACATTTTCCCACCAACTTGCATGTGGAAAGTATTTGGTTTCCAGTATCAAGAAAGGGACTCGATGTGCAGGAGCTCTGTGTGCTGCTGTGTTCTGGGAGCAGGGGGGCCTTAAAGCCTTCCAGGAGCTGGTTCAGCATCTATTTGGTTGCACAAAGTCTTGCTTTGTACACCTTAGGTGTGTTTCTTGTATGATCCCCACTTTTTAATGTGCTGTCCATCAGGGTGTCATGGAATTAGTATAGGAACCAGGCTATCCTGGTCCCATGATATTCCTGAGCTCCAGATCACTATCATGAAGTTCTTGTATGTGGCTTTTAATGCTGGAGTGAATGGAATGCTGCTGGAATGAAAGACTCATGGAGAACTGTTTTCTTACTGCAGGGTTATGGTTTCTGTACTCTGTGTAAGTAGGTGGGTGCTCTGTTTTTCTGGGCAAGTGAAATGTTTTTCAGGAATGTTCCTGGCGTATCACTGTAGGGGTGTAAGTATAGTAAATAACAGTAGCTCAGTGTATGTACTTTATGAAGGGTTAAAGATGATGTAGTCAATTTGCCTGGTGCCCCCAACCTAAACATTTGAAATCAGTACACTAGGACCTCCAGCAGGCACTGCCTTCATGCTGGGATTATTGCTACAACACGCTCCCTCATCAGTGGTTGTTTTGCTTCAGCCTCTGAGCTTCATGGATTGACAAGACAACCATCCCTAAAAAAGGAGGTGTTGCACTGGATGGTTTTCACTTTGCCCTTTTTTAGTGGCTGTTTCTGACAGACTTGTCAGAGCCTTCAGTGCAGCACTGCTGCCAGAGCTGCCTCTGCACAGCAAAACGCAGAGTGACTGTAGAAGTTTTCAGCTAACTACTCACTTAGGTACCAGCGCTGAAGCTGCAGCAGATCCAAAAATCCCTACTGCTCTTGGGCCTGGGAATTGGAAGTCCCAGGTTTTCCTGAATGCCTTTCTGAAAGGGCTAGTTTTAGATCCAGGGTGAGCGTGAGAGGAAGCTTAATTTTCTTTGTTGTTTTCCTCTGGAAGACAAGTAAAAATGAGGAGGGTGGTGAGAGCAGGGTGCTTTTCATTTGCAAGAGTCCTAATTAGCATTTTCTCTGCATGCAGTGCAGTATAATCAGCATTGGTTGCTGTCAGAAAATTCATGGGTACATA